ACGGGTCTCCCAAGCAGGACTTGGGTGTTTGTCTGAAACAAGGGTGATGGACAGATAAAGACAAGAACTGCTCTGAAGCGCTTGTCCTCACTAGAGATGGCAAAACCCAGATGTGACTGAAGAGCCCGGCTGCCTCCTCAACAGGAAAAACTGAAGCACAGAAATTATCAGAGCAGCCCTGCCAGGGCATGGGGACACCTGACCACACACACCACGTGTAACTCAGACACACAGCACACAGGACCCGCTGTGGATGGAGGACGCAGGTTTATGAGCACCAGGTGTCTAGATCCATACAAGATCAGAGCATAGCATCTCCCGACACCTTTAGATGCTTTAGTAGCATCCAAAGGGCCACCCAGCAGCGAGGTGGCCAGAGCAGCGCTGGAGTCCTGGCTGCCAGCTCTTTGTCCAACTTGCTGGTCCCTATTTTACAATATTACTCTTAAAGGCAAGATTGAAAGACTCATGTTTGCAATGTAAAGGCCATTAAAGCATCCCTGACTGTCAGTGCCTTTGCCAAACAGGTTCTGTGAGTTGTGGTGCATGTGTAAAACTGTCACAAACCCTGGCTGTTGGTACAACAGACATTTCACCTGCAATGGTTTTCTGTTTGATTGGAAGAGGAGCCCTTGCAGGGAGGGGGCCGGGGCAAGGCATTCATTGCCTTCCTCCAGCACAGCAGCGTTACAGAGCACCTCGGTGTGGTGCCCTTGGGTTTATACCCCTCTGGCTGGCCTTTGACATCAAGCTCAGTAAACCCTGGTGCTGAGCCCTCACTCTGACACCAGCGGGGCTGGGAGGTGGCCACAGGGTCAGGCCCTGCTGCACGCTCCTTGTGTTGAGCTGCTCCTGCCTGGGCACAGGCTGAGGCAGAGCTGGGCATGGCCGTGGTGGATCCTGTCCCTCGGTGCCCATTTGCTGCCAGGCACAAGTAACATCAGTTACTCAGTTACTCAGACTTGCACTTCTTGCCCCATTTCTTGTCTGAGCTTCTCCATCCTCACGGGAGGGCACTGAAGGGCTGCAGAGCAGGCAGCAGCGATCTCTTGTAGAGCCTGAACTCGCCCAGCTGCAGATTTTGTACCAGCCCCAGACAGTGGGAGCACATGCTGGTGCCATCAGTCTCTCCAGGGCCCTTGGGGCAGCACGAGTGGGGTAATGGGCTCTTCTGGAGCCACATCCAGACCATGTCCCAGACTTGCAACACAGGGCATGAGCAGCCAACTCCCCAGAGCTGTTGTGCTGACGAAGCAAGGACAAGATCCTCAGCCATCATTTTGGTTAAAGGAACAGAGTGAGGGCAGTTCATTTGGGCTGAAGACCTGGCCCATGGTTGTTAAGGGTGGTAAAGAGGAAGGAGAAGGGGTAGAAATACCTCCTGCAGGTGCTGGGAAATGCCCTCTTTCCTTCCAGCAGTCTTTTATGCCAATTTGATTAGCAGCCCATGCAGTACCCTGTCAGTGCATGAAAAGGGGGCACCATGAGTACAGACGCAGACACAGCCATGCAGAGCCTTCCTCTGTTGCTAAAACCACCCCACAGCTCCTTTCCACTCCAGCCTGAACAGAAGGAGGAAAACTCCATTGGATCAAGCCCCCAGTGGTGAGGTTAGAGGAGACTGGAGGCCTCTGCCCCCAGGAAAGCACAATATGAACAGAACTACTCTGTACAATACCACAAGGAGCAGAGCTGGAGGCAGGGAAGCTACTACTCAGTTAAATCCGTGGCTGACAGAAAGCAGCAGCTTGATTGTTTTATCTCTGGTTTATTGAGCAGTTGGTGGAGCCTGCGCTGCTTCAGAGCCAGATCCTCGGGAGTCCCAGTGGAACCTTCCAGCAAGGCAACCCACGTGGAAGCAAAACCGAAGTCTGCACATGCCAAGTGTCAGCACCAAATCCCAGTCCTGTGGCCAGGGACTCTTCCCAGCTGAAGACACCAGGACATTCACACACCTGAAGGCTTAGTCCTCATCACACCACCCAGGTGAGGAGCAGCACAGGGGGACCTGCACTGAGGCACTCTCCCTGTGAAACAGATGCAGACAGAGGTTCATTTTCCTCTGTCTTTATCCCTTCCAATACCAATCAGCACCAGGGCATCTCCCAAAACAACATGTGGGTGTCCTAACAAAACACAGGATGCTGTTTTTCCCTTTATAGCGATGGAGAACCACACCACACACCGAGATCCTCAGCTGCTTGCTTGATGATGCAAGGAATGAATAAGCATGAATAAAGACACAGAAACTGGGTGTTGTTTGCAGAAGTGCAGAGCAGATCCCTCCACCCAGCACTGGGGAGAGCAGGGCTCTTGCACAACAGCTCACAAGCTGTTTCTCTTCTTTATGCACCTCTGTCATTGCAGGTGATGCTTTATTCGCCCCTGGGAAGTGTTCCTGCCCTACAGCCACGTGGGAAGCAGTGCCCAGCATGGAGCAGCAGAACCTGGACCCCAGAGCAAGGTTCCTCAGAGGGCTCTGCACAGCACACATAACTCACGGTGAGCAGCCCTGTTCTCACTCACTGAGCCCAGCAGCTCATCAGTGGTGCTTGGTGCTGTACATCGGAACATGCTCACTAGCTAAAGGGGGCTTGAAATGTGGATTTGTAGGTGTTGAATACTTCATACAACCATTGGGCACTGCAAGAAACTCCTCTTGGTGTTTTCACCGGATAAAGCAAAGAGGAAACCGGTGCTGGGGACTGGCTGTGCCCACTGGAGCTGTCACCCCAGGGGGAGTCCCCTCTTACCAGGGTAGGGACAGGGGGCATGGGCAGCATGGGCACATCCTGCTCAGAGGGTGGGCACATGGTTCCCCCTCCTGCATCAGGCCTGCGCCAACGCGGGCGCAGCCTCCACAACGCACGAGCCCACGGGCACCACCGCACAGAGCAGTCACCGGGAGCATCTCTGGCTCGAGTCAGCACAAACCAGCTGCTGACTTGTCCAGAGCAGCCCCGGCCCCGGAGGAAGCTGCTCCCGTTTGCAGTGCGAGCCCTCTGCAGAGCACAGGTTCATACTTTCACACGACCTTTGCTCGCTCGGAGCTGAATCACCTCCATCGCTCCTATCTTCAAAAGGAGCTGGTGGGCTCCGGGCAAGGACTCAAGAATGCTGTCACATAGCTGCAGCTCTGCCTTACGCAACCGCCTTTGCTGGAAGGGATGAGCGATACTGAGCCCGTCAGCAGAGCCCCCACCCTCGGCGGGGCTGGAGGGGGCGTTTCCCTGCGCCCAGCATGACCCTGCTTTAAACTGACACCGTTGGATTGCCCAGAACCTGCACAGGAGCAGCGCCGGTTCCCTGCCGCCGGCCCATGAGCAGGGGGAAGCGGTGCAGACACAGCGCCAGCCAGGGCACACAGCGTGAAACAGACCCCGCACCCCCAGCAAAATCCATCCTTGTTCTGCTGGGAACCTTAAATCACAACAGGAGGGTTTTGCTGTGTAAATTAGGAGTAATGCTACTAGGAGCAGTGTAAGTGGGAAGAGAATCAGCGCTGCGTTCACACGGGTAGGAAATTGGCCCCAAGACCAGACTTTCAGAGCAACTGATCACAGGTCAAGGGCTCACCAGGAGCCCACAGCATCGCACACACAGCACACAACAGCACAGCCTCACTGCCACGGCCTCCCCGGGAGCAGCCTTCCAGGGAGGGCACCACCACTGCACAGGAACCCGGAGCGAGCCATGGGGGCACTCGCACTCTGTTTGTGCTGGTTCCTCGTGTTCCAGCCTCTCTAGTGGTGCGGAGGACTCGGTGCTGCCCCTGAGCCCCCAGCCCTGTGCCCTCCCTCTCCGCAGGCAGCAGGAAACCTCCCTTCTCACCTGAGAGCTGGTCCTTGCGCTCGAGCAGGATGGGTTCACCTGCTGCCTGGCACCAAGTGCTGCTGTGGAGCAGAGCTCCTGCACGGCCTCATGAGGGGAGCTGTAGGTTTCACAGACATCAGCACCAAGTGCTGGGGATTCCTGGTGTGCCTGTCTTTAGCTGGAGCTGACATTCAGCTATGGCAGGGCTGTCGACCTGGCTTTGCAGAACTAACAGTCAGGGCAACCCTGCTGAAGAAGGAGTTTATGACATGAAGGGGTGCAGAGTGCTGGGAGAGATCAACAAAGGTTGATAAGCCTTCAAGGTTAACCTAAGCTTCATTGGAGAAGCTCTCCTCCTTGCAATAATGCTTCAGTAATCCCAAATTCACCAGCCTGAAGCACTTCATCATTTCAAAACCCCCTTTCCCAGCAGGAGCAGAGCTGCTCTCACTGCCCCTCGTGGGACTCAGGCACATTGGACACCGATGAAGGGCAGGGGGGAAGAAAGGCCCCAGTTTTCACTGGTCAGGGGATTAACTGGGTAACACGGGGCTGCCCTCGGTACCTTTGTTCCTAAGGGGAAGCAGCTGCAGGGGCAAGGGGCTGGTGGCTGAGCAGGGGCAGGGTGAGGAGCTCCCACAGCCCCTCCAGGCCCGGCGCCGGGTGGAGACTGTTCAACCTTCCATCTATGAACCTTTATTACTAGGGAATATCCAAAACAACAAAGGCAACAGCACAGTTACAAAAGGAGGTCACGGAGCAATGTGAAGCAGCCGTGTTTGAAATGCTCTGTGTCACCGTTCCGTCCAGTACAAAACAATGCATTTACACATCTCTCAAATACAAAAGGAGCCGTAGGTCAGAAATGTACGAACAGGGGCTCTGGAGGCCTTGGTGTATTTACATGGGGGCCCGGCGTGGGCGCAGGCAGCGTCCCTTCAACTGCGTGTCTGCAAAGGCTCTGAGCGTGGCCAGAGGAGCCCGGAGCCAGGCTGGGCCCCGCGGGGAGGTGCTGGTGCTTTGGGATAAAGCCACAGCCTGGGGTGGATCCGGCACAGGGCAAGGCTGGCAGCGAGCAGAGCAGTCCCGGGCTCGGGCAGGCACCTCGGTGCCAGTCCCGCTGTGGAAGGGGCCGGGCCCATGGCCAGGAGGGGATCCAATAAGATAGAATAAAACCAGTGACAGTGATGAAGAACTCGGCAGAGCGAGGTTCCGTGTTCACAGGGTGACAGCTCCCGAGCAGCCGCTGCCCTCCCAGAGGCTGCGCTTCAAGCAGAGGCCCCGGGTGGGGGCCCTGGGCTGGTTCTGTTGGGTCAAACTCGCCGGGTTTGAGAGAAGTCCCAGGAAGTGCTGCCCGCCGCTCTTCAGAGCTCCTTGAGGATGACCTGGAACTTGTTCTCTGCTTCCACCATGTCCAGCAGAAAGGCCATGTGGTTGCTGTAGTGCTGGATGATGTTATTGTCCATGTTCACTAGGATCCTGTGGGAAAGGGAAGAAGGGCTGGGTCAGACACAGCACAAGGACAGGTCTGCGGAGCGCCTCGGTCAGGACTTGGGGTGCCCAGCCATGGATGGCAAACGCTGACACTGCAGAGCCTCAGGGCACGGCAGACCTGCAGAGAATCCCCACTGCAGATTCCCTTTCCTGCCCTGCTCCTGACGCCCATCGCATTCCGCAGCCACCCCGTGTGCAGGGACAAGGCACTGCCGCGTCCACCCCATGAGGGCTCAGCCATTGGTAATTACTGAGCCCCAACACGACAGGAGCCTCCTGTGGGGCTTTCCACAATTCCACCCAGACACGCCTGGGCCCAGCGTCTGCTCCACGGGCAAATTGCTGTGGATTAGGGCAGGAGGGAACCGGGAGCTCCGACCTGGAATCAGTTCCATGGAGGCTCGGAGAGAAGGAAACATTCCAAGAGCTGATTTCAACCCGGGGCTGTGGTTCTGTGCCAGGGAGGACCCCTCAGGCCTGCAGTGAGTGAGGGGGCAGCTCCACATCGACACCCCCCCCCCCTCCCCGGTGTTCCCACAAATCAGATGGGAATTTTGTCGCAGTTTGGAGGGAACAGAACAGATTTGTGTGCAGGAAGCGCATCCCCTCCGGCCTCCAGCCGGGGTCACTAACGGGGCAATAGCATCAATTGTGCAATGCTGGAGCCCAGATTAAAGGCAAGAGAAGGAGCAGGAGGAGCACCCAGCACACCTGAGAGCGACAGGCACGGACACGGCCCCTGTCCCTCCGGGAATGCCCCGGGGTCAGTGCAGCCGCCCCCGGTGCGGGCGGAAGCTGTGTCCTGGTGCCCCGTTGCTCCCATGGGTGCTGCATCCCCAGCGTACCTGTGGCTGTGCTGGCATTGCATGGGGCACAACCGCTGCTGCCACAGTGCGGCTGGGGGAGCGCAGCCCACCCAGTGCAGGGGCTGTGACACCACCCGGGGTGAGCCATCACCCTCCTGGCACCGGAGGAGGCAGCGATGCCCGACCCGGGGGTGTCACAGCCACCAGTGCTGCCCCACAGGTGGGGTGCATGCGGCCAGCGGCAGCTCCGGCTGCGGAGCTTCCGTCTGATTTCTCATCCACAGAAGTTCCGAGGGTGCTGATGGGGAGCAGGGGCCCTGCTTTGCTCTCCTAGCCCAGACCTCACCAAGACACCAGATCACCTGTTACTGCTCCTGAGTCACCCGGAGATGAAGTTCACCCGGGTGAGCTCATCACGCCGGGGCGGCCCAGGGCTCAGCATCGGTCCCCCCTGCTCTAAGCCCAGCAGTACCCCTGAGCTCCGTGGGTTTACCGCAGATGCAGACCTGACCCTCAGCTGCAGTTACCAGGAGAGGAGTGTTTAGGGTGGAGCAACGGGAGGAAATTATTGAAAGGAAAATTCAATGTGCGGGAGCAGGAAACAGTGCCTGACCCTGCCAGCACCCGACTGCAGGAGCTCCTGTGTCCCCACGCTGCAGCAGTGTCTGGGGCCACCACTCAGATCCAGCTCTCAGCAAACCAGGTGCCAATGGATCATTTTTTAGCCTAATTTCCAAGTGTTGCCTTTTCTTCTCTTTGAATCCTCTGGGGAAGGGATGGATCCGCCCGCTTTCCCTCCCAGTCCTTATTAAACACCATTCACTCCCTATCAGATCAAGTAGCGAACAAACCCAAAGCACAGCGAGGTACCGTGGCCTCTCCCTTGATGCGCTGCCATTTCCTGGTCCACCTGCAAGCTCATCAGCGCTTGGATCTCTCCTGCTGCGTGGATGCTGGTTCAGTGAACCCAGCCCAAGCCGGAGCTGCCATCTGTGGTGGCCACATCAGGAGCCACCACCAGAGCTGACACACCTGAGGCCTGGCTCCAGCCCGAAGCTGCAGGAATAACCTGACCACCCCTGTGCTTCGCTGCTGTTCCCTGTGCTCAGGCTCTGGCTGTAGCCGTGTGGGACAAAGCCCTCCCCGAGGCCGCCAGCGCTGCTCTTGTTCTCTGGGGGTAAAGTTCCATTTCTGGGGCCAGGGGGTGAGCAGCATCTGGCTGCACCCAGGGCCTGACTGCAGCAACAGGGGAGGAGCCTCCTGACCAGTTCAGATGCCTCACTATGGCTCACCCATCGCCTTAACATTAAGACCATATCTAAAAACCCTCCTAAAGGGGTTGCTCAGCTGTGGATTTAGAGGTGAGGGGGTTGTTGCCTCCCGGTTCAGTGACACCACATCACAGCACGGAGCTGAAACCACCTTCTCTCCCCTCCCACCATGCAGCTGCCTCCAAGCCTGACTTTAGCTCCACTTCCCCTGCAGCAAACAGGCCACGTCCCACGGGGATCAAGTTATGGTGACACCAAAGGAGTGGGAAGATTCCATCCAAAGAGCTTTAGGATGTTCTCATCCCACTGCCACCAGAAAGCAAATGCAGAAGCAGAGCTTTGGAGTCGCCCTCAGCTCCCAGGGGCTCAGTTCCTGCTCCGTTCCCCTGCGCAGTGCTGTCAGCAGCCTGGCTCCTGCCTGTCCCTCCCCATGCCCAAACTCTGGGCCAGGGCCAGCAACAACAACGAGTTCATCTCCCAGGCAGTCACCGCTGCTCGCAGAGCTGATTACATCTCGCTCGCTCTGCAAGAAGGGCTCGGGGTTTAGCTTAATGGGAATAACCCTGGGAGTCGTTCCCCTTCCATCAGCTGAAGGGAGAACTTGCTGCCAGGGATGGGGACAACGCAGGGGGAGTTCTTAGTCATAGAATCACAGACTCATAGGACAGTTCGGGTTGGAAAGGACCTTAAGATCATTCAGTTCCGACCCCCCTGCCACAGGCAGGGACACCTCACACTAAACCATCTCACCCAAGGCTCCGTCCAACCTGGCCTTGAACACCACCAGGGATGGAGCATTCACAACTTCCTTGGGCAACCCATTCCAGTGCCTCAGCACCCTCACAGTAAAGAACTTCTTCCTTATATCCAATCTAAACTTCCCCTGTTTCAGTTTTAACCCGTTACCCCTTGTCCTATCCCTACAGTCCCTAATGAAGAGTCCCTCCCAGCATTCCTATAGCTCCCTTCAGATACTGGAAGCTGCTCTGAGGTCTCCACGTAGCTTTTCTTCTCCAGGCTGAACAGCCCCAACTTCCTCAGCCTATCTTCATAGGGGAAGTGCTCCAGCCCCTGAGCATCCTCATGGCCTCCTCTCGCCTTGTTCCAACAGTTCCATGTCCTTTTTATTCTGAGGACACCAGAACTGCACACAATGCTACAAGTGAGGTCCAGAAAACATTTCTGAAAGCAGCTCTTGGCTCCACATGGAGACCCCTGCCCTCCATGGGATGTGCAGCAGCTGGGCCTCAGCTCAGCACCGTTCTCTCATCCATGTGGGAGATCCCCACGGGTCAGTCACTGACAAACACCCCACTGAAACCACCTGGGAGTCATCTCACATTTACTGCAAACCTCACCTGAACCCCCTGTGAGCTCTGCAGGTCTCCCAGCAGCACCTGCCCAACGTCTCCAGTGGGACCTGCACTTCTGTGCTGGGGATGCACAGGAGCCACCAGTGCCCAGAAGGGTCGATCGGACCCAGTGGATCCCCTCACCTCCAAAGCGAGTGTGAGGTTTCCTGTTGACCTCCTGCTCTGGGGTGGGATGGCAAAGCTGGGAACAGACACAGGCTGCCCATGGTGCTGTGCAGCCCCCATGGTGCTGTGCAGCCCCCATGGTGCTATGCAGCCCGTTCAGTCTCTTTCTGAGCCAGGGACATTTAGGCTCTTGGTCTGGGGAAGCAAACATTGTACCTCTGATGGCAGTCAGATAAGTTCTCCATAACCTCAGGCTTTCAGACTGAGACACAAAGTATCACCCATTAAACTACCCAAACATTCCTCCTTCATCCAACTTCCTTTCCCTGGGAGACTTTACACTCCAAATAAATATAACACAAACAAGCATTATCCCAAATCTTTAAAGCCCAGAAAGATCCAAGTTTTATATGCTCCAAATAGCACAGACTCACATGGCTTCACTTTTTATTATCTTGTTAAAACGCTGCGTCAGCCCATGGCAGGGTACCAGCGAGTGGCTTTAGAGGCACAGGTAAAAAGCAGATGAGAGGTTAACTTAACTTACCCTCTTTTGCATTTTTTGTAGACTTTATAAATGCTTTCTTCAGGAAGCCCGTATTTTTCTGAAATCTGGGAGGGAAAACACAGCAATTCTTTGTACTTGTAAAATGAAATCCCCATGATAACAACCAAAGATAACACTGAGCAGCAAGAGGTCCTCCCTCCCGCCCGAGAAAGACCAAAGCAATGATCTGAAGAGGACAACCCCAGTCTGGGTCCTGCAGTGAGCAGCGGGGTGGCTGCAGCCTGGCCTTGGGTCTCCTGACAGCTACTGCCAGGCCAGGCACCTTGGGCAATGACCTTCACCTTCCTTCTCTCACTCCCCAGCCTGTGTGGGGCTCGGTGCTGCAACCCAAGGCGACCACAGGAGGTGTGTGCCTGCATCTGCACCAGCCTGCAGGTTCTGCTGAGGTTTTGCTGCCCCACAGAGCTCTCCTGGGCACCTCCCTTATGGGCTTTGGGTGCAGGAGCTTTGTGGCTTTCTCACAAGCCCCTGCAGAGGTTTTAACTCTGTGCTGAGGGATGGGGGAGGGAGAAGATGGCAAAGGCTCCTCTCTGCTGACACTTTCCAGACTCTATGTTTAGAAGTGTGTAAAACCAACAGAGCTTGAAGCGCAGCCATAAAGCCCCCCCAAATCTGGGAGGTTCACTGTTTGTTTCCTTCTCCAAAGAGAGGTGGGTTATGGGAGATGCGCTGATAATGATCACAGAAATATGTCTGTGTTCTCCTCAAACACAACACAGGGAATTCCAGCAGGAGGCCAGAACTGGCTTTGGACTGCACATCTACAGCCCTGGGGATGGAGAGGGTGTTTGACAATGGACGATATGAATGTGTTGTCACAAGAGGAGACTTATATTACGATCTGAACGAAACTTCTTGCCATAAGGTGTGCTCTTCTCTGCTGCAGCGCTAACAACACACAGCCCATGCCAGGGCCTGGGGAGAGAATTCACCTGCTGCTCACAATTTCCATTTCCATTCTCAGCAGAAAGCAGACATCAGATAGGAGCAGTCTTACACCCTACATCTTCCTGCCCACCCAGTGCCACTGCCCTTTCACCTGCAGTGTTGCTCATGTGGCATTCATGTGCTGCAGTTTTTGATAACACTTACAGCTGTTCGGAGGCCCTGGAGATCCGGTGTCTTCAACATGAGAGCATCAAACACCTCCTCTGACTCCCTCCGCACGTACAACAAGACTGAAAGAGATAAAGCACAGCACTGACCCAGGACTCTTAGAGCACGTTCACAGCGTGATGGGGCCCCGTGCAACTCAAGAGCTGAGGTTACTTGAGTCAAATGGGACTCTACATCCCAGAAGCTCCCATCCCAGCGGTTACCTCTCTGAGGATCTTCTTCCTTGGTTTGCTTTGGAGGAACTGGGTCAAACTCTTCTGTGAAGGAGGCACCGCTCCGCTTCAGGGGCAGCCTGAGCAGAAGGAACACAACGCTCTCAGAAGGACGGAACAGGAGCAGGGAACAAAGCAGCAAACTTCTGACAGAACAACCAGCAGTTAAATACTGGGTTTGTAATTACAGCAGCAGAGCCTCCAGCAGAGCTGCACCTTCCTGCACAGCGCACGCGAGGAGATCAGCGTGTGCAGGCAGCGGCTCTGGAATCACAGCACAGACAAGAGCCTTTTGCACCTTCTTGGCATTGTTGCTCCATTGATATCACCAGGCAGTGGATCAAGCCTTGGGCAAACACTGGTTCTACCCCACTCCAGACACATTACAAGTGTGATTTCTACTCCATTCCGGTTTATTTTAGAGCAGGATCTGCTGCTGGTTACTTGAACCCTTCAGCAATAGTTCTGTGATCTTTTTTCTCCTGTTTCACATGGTCTCAGTAAGAACAGCAGGACAGTTGTGGACCAGGCTCGTGCTGGAGTGGCTCACTGGTAGGGAAAGGAACCTATCTGTGCTTCTGTATCCCTTGAGTCCATTCTAGGCCAATGCTTAACACATATTTTGACACCCAATGGCACTGGGGAGACACTGTGCTGTGTTATTTTTGCACCTGTAGATAGATACTGCCTGCGGGTACCAAACCACCACGACACACCCAGAGAAACACCAGCTGATGAAGGGAAGGACAAACTGCTGCATCCTTACCTGTTTGTGGAGTTGGGAACAGCAGGAGGAAGCACCTTGAAAGGAAAGGAACATTGATCAGTTTACACAGTATCACTGGGAGCCAGTGAAGCTGGGGAAGGCAGCACATGCACATCTCAAACACGATTTCCCTCCTCCCAGTCCATCATCTTCCTACACCATTAAACCCAAACATCTGCATGTGTTTCTTAGACTAAATGAAACCCCAGCAGATTCTCCTAGTGCCTGGGTTTGATGCCGATGCTGCAGGAGGACACTACAGCATTGTCACAGCTGGCTTTTCCCCCTGCTTGACAAACCAAGTCCCTTGTTTCCTAAGGGAATCCTGATGAGCTCTGAAGGACACTGGGTCTAGGTTTCCTTGGACTCAAGGGGCTAGAAAAGGGCAGGGGACAAGGGAGAGATGTCCCATGCATGCAGGGACTGATACGGTTGCATTTTCCTGTAGTTTTATTTCTGCTTCCCCTCCAGTCCTCTGTGGAAGCTGCACATGATCCCTGCAAACCACAGGAATATCTGGCTGCAAGGAACCTGGAAAGGTTATCTTGCCCGTCACCGGCGCATGACTACGTCGGCCACTCCTGACAGCGACATCTTCAAGTTCACCACACTTCCACAGAGGAACTGCGGTTTGGTTTTGTTGTTTTACACACCACGAGTCATGTCTGGGGGCCTGATCAGCTGGGAGTGATGGGGGTGACAGACGAGGGCCACAGCGGGGTTGGGTTTGGAAGGGACTCACCGTGCCGCACCTCTGCGGGTTTGAGAAATGGACGTTGGGGATGAACAGCACTGGCTGGGTTTCGAGGTCAGTCTCTGGCCTCAGGAACGTGATCTCATTCCCTCTGAAGCCGGAGAGCAAACAGCCTTTCAGACCTGCGATGGGAAGTCCAGTACATCTCAGTTCAGACGGCAGCTTCAGAGGCAGGGAAGAGGCTGCCCAAGGTCTCCCCAGAGATATGTTAGAAAAGAGATGGGACTCTGCAGAACTGGGTCTCCAGGCCTTGTCCAGGGCTGCTCCCCACGGGAACACTCTGCTCCCTGCCAAGGCCCCAGGACAATCCAGGAGGGTTTGTTAGTATTAATAAAGGGCTTTGAGAGTCCCTGTAGGAGCCCAGGGAAGGACTGGACTGACAAGCTGGTTCTGAGTGGTGCTGATTTCATCAGGCTTGGAGATACCCAGGGCCAGATCTCCTGGGAGTTAACAGACTACATGGATTTCAACACACTTGGGCTCGGGTAACAAGCACTAGCACTGACCGTTGTTATTGGAGTCCAGGCATTTTCCTTTCCTTCTGAACTGTTTCCTTTCATCATCCCGCATTTTCCTCTCTGCTCCCTGTGGGGAAAATAAGGCAAAAATTAGGACATTGACAGTTCTTACGTTGGCAAGAGAGGGTTTAGTGCCCATCTCTGGGAGGTCAGCCCTTTACTCAAAACTTCTCATGTCAGACACGGCCAGCTGTGAGCAATTTTTCCCTGGGAAGATATCTGAGACTGGGGAAGAACCTCTAAGGAGACTCTCATCTCTTCTGCCATTTAAAAACCTGTCAAAAATAGAGTTTATTATGAGGCATGACCCCATATAGGTCTGACATGGGGAAACTCTCTGCTGACTGGTCTGGGAGGGCCTCAGCAGTGCAGACACGTCCCCACTGCCCTGTCTCACCCGGTGGAGGGGAGGCACCACCTCTGCTCCTCAGCCCTGAGCTCTGGGCTGTTCGAGGCTCCCACAACCTTTCTGAAGCCACTGGCCACGGGTTTAAAATTCCTCTTGGACAACCCGGGGGGAAAGCAGTGCTGTACCTACCTTATCACAGAATATCTTGATCTGGCAGACGGCGCGGTGCACCAGCTGGCTGCTCCCATTGCCGTAGTCGTAGGTGTCTATTTGGAGGTTGAGGGGGACTCCTTTCACCCCCTTTTGGGAGGAGAAGTCAGTGCTCAGGCAATTCACCCCAATAAACACCTGCAAACAGGAACACGGATTGATACAGCTTTTTGGTGCTGAAAACATCATTCTCCTACGGCAATGAGAGCAGTGGTAGGAACAAAAGCAGACCAAGACCTCCTTCCAGCCCTCCCAGCATTAGGCAGGAGCTCCCACCTGAGCACAACCACCAGCCCTTCCTAGCCACAGCCTCCCACACCCACTGCAGCTACCATCTCTTTATTCACACTCCCACAGCTCAGGCAGGTGTCAAACCAGATGCAAAGTCTGCCTGGGGATGTCCTTGCAGATATTTCTGATCTGAACAAGGGACCCTCAGACAAGAATGGCCTGGAGGGAGAGAGGGATAGAAGGAGGGAGGGAGGAGAGCCAGACTACAGCTTCAGCAATTACACATCATTGCTGCTGCCTAAATAAATACTCTGCTCACACTGGTCTCCTTTATCGCTAGGCTGGAGTTACCCCCAGTGCAAACTCCCGAAGGCAAGCTGAGCACAGATACAATCTTCATTGTGTCGCCAAATTACCAACTCTTTTGTGTGACCCTGAAATCTCCCCTTGACTCTGGGGACAGATTTGCAGCTGGAGAAGCTCCCACAGCTCCCTCAGCAGGGCCCTGCCGGAGGATTTCAGCCCTGAAACCTGATGTCAGATCTAGTCAGTACCTATGTACGGAAAAGAAAATCACTTAGCTGTGGTGGGAAGTTTAATTGGAAAGAGAAGCAAGAGGTGCTCCAGACGACCCAAATACCGGCCCCTTCCGTCTGCTCCCAGCCTCGCAGCTCTCTCAAGTCTCACCTTTCCCTGCCCCAGGCCAGTTCATGTACAGTTTCTGCTAAGAGTTAAATCCAGTTTTGCTGAGGTGCCCCCGCGGGCTTGCCACATACCTGACATATTTCCATTTCTGACAACTTTGCCTTGAAGACATTTGTTAACCTCTTGGGTTGTAAAAGACCAAGGTCGCCTTTGGGCTAAAAGAAGGGCTTATTGAGATCCCAGAGCAAAGCAGAGTTTTCCCAAGCTGCCAGCTTCAGAGAGATGGGGCATTTATGCTTTTCTTTTTATCTTAGATAGTTCATCTTTTTTGATACTCTCCTTTCAATCCACACTAGGGACAAGGTATTAATGAGAGACTCTGAAGAGATGCAGGAGAGAAAGAAGAGCTGGAAAGATGTTTATATTTACAGATTTTCAGGTCAAAAGGGATCTTGTGACCTGCCTGGCTCCCTTCCACACAAGCCACAGAAGGGTGGTCAGTCATTTCTCCATCAAAATGCTGCCTTGAAAGGAGGGTCTTTGTTCCTTAAGCTGTGGTTTATTTAAATAGACTTCACCTACATGTGAGTAGAGCCCTGATCTAGGCTGCCTGCTGCAAAAGCCTTTCTTCAGACTTATCCATCAGCACTAAGACAACATCTCTGAGCCAGTCTCAGGTGTACCCAGCGTGTTTATTAGCTAATGGCGATGCTTAAACACACATTGAAGCACAGTGTCCTTCCCCACTGGCCTGGTAGACAAACACTACCTGGGGCCACTGGAACGGCACTGTTTGGATTTGAAACTCTGTCAGCTGAGAAGAGGTGGGGGAGTGCTGGGGAAGGAAGGAGGCTACAGCTTTGCTGAGAACCAAGGCTTCCCATGTCCCTTCCACAAGCAGTTTGTACCTTTGCTTCCTCGTGGATGTTCCACACGAAGGACAGTGCATTGTAGGCTAACTCCTCGATGTTCTGCACCGTGTTGAAGTTTTCTTTACAGTCAGCTGAAATGCAATGGAGAAGCAGTTTATACTCTGGCTGCAAAACTGGTTCCATTCCCTAGGTCTTCCACTCCCCCAAAGCCTGCCTCTCGCTCACTCCAAGGCTAAAAGAAGCCTTGTAATATAATGAAGCCATAGTTGATACCCCTGGGTACACCCCAGTGTGCATACATATGGGGTAGGCCAGAAATGACACACGGGTTTTGGCTGGTGACTGCTGTTAGAGCAGGGATGTTATGCAGAGTCAATGCAGACTGCTTCTAAACTCAAACAACTGTGTGTCTCCTCTGAGGCACAGCGAGGTGCTCAGCTGGACGGACAAAACCTCTGTCTGACAGGCTTGACATGCTGTAAAGCCTGGGTGGTGGCAGTGGAGAAGGACAAGCAGTACAAAACCCCTTTTCTAGCTCAGATTCCTGGACTCCAAGAGGCCACAGGTCACATCCACAGAGTCAGGACTGCTCAGCAGTGTCTGTCTCTCTGACTGAGGCTCTTCTTTGCTGTATTTTGGGTGCCTGATGCATTTCCCTTCACTTGACAAACATCATCTTAAACCTGCAAGAGCTCCTCAGCCAGAAAGGACTCGAGGCCAGCAGACCAGGCTGCTCCTCTGACTTCCCCCACGCCAGGCTCTGGAGCTTCAGCTGTGTCATTGTGTATTGGACAGGTAGGAAAATGGTGCTCAGTTATCAACCCCACCCAGACAGCCCCACTCATACCGACGTCAATGACTCTCTGCTTGGCTGTGGGCTGTCGGGAATGCCAGTGCTTCCAGAACTTGAGCTGCTCTGTCGGGATCTTTTCGTTGTCAAAAACAATCATCACCACACTCTGTAACACAGTGAGGATATCCCTAAGGGTCGCTCAGGACTGGACCAGGTTTCTTTGTGGGGAACTCAAGCTCATCTTAGGCTCAGGGGTGGCTCTCAGGCTTGGCCACACATGACTGGAGCAAGACGGAACCTCTCAGCTCAGACACCCTCCCACCAGGGCCCCCAGCCAGCCATCAGCTAGGGAGGCCTTTTGTGCATCCCTGACCTTACTGTGAAAGGCTTCAACTGCCAGGGAACATGAAGGCTGTTGCTGTGCATCAGAGGATTAGCTTGCTATGAGCGAATCCATCCCATTCATTGCTTTAAGCCAACATGAGCCACAAAGCCATTACTCTTCTTGTTCAGCTCTTTTCCCAGGGCAGTACAATTGCTGGATGTCTGATTACAGCATGTGTCAGCAAAATTGTCAGCTTGTCTCTTACCTTCACTTTATTTGAGGACAAGTGTAAACATTTGCTGTCTCCAGCTGTCCGGAGCGTGATGGGGTAGAACTGTCCTTTGTTGAGGTAGGCCATGGGAGAGTCCCCAGATTTGATGTGAATGGCTTTGGGTGACCCCAGAGTGTATTCAAAGTCACTTGTATGGAACAAAAAGAGAATGATGAATAAGCACACGCTGCTGTTTCACTCCAAAAGCAAAACAAGAGCCATGCAAGCCTCCACCCCTGCGGGTTACAGGTTACAGACACTGCACACACAGGAGTCTCTGCCCTGTTCCCCATCTCACACACCCCTACACCATGAGCACCTCCCAGCACAGCACATACTGATCCTCTCCAACACCCCAGGGAGCAGCAGCTCTCCAATATCCTCATTTTACCCTTTGGTTTTGGCTTAAAAATAGCCCTGTACGTTACTGTAACCGGTATTTTTCTGTGGATGGCTACAGAATCCTTGCTCAATCAAAAGCCTAAACCAAACCAACCAAAAACAGGTACCTGTGATGAGACTTCGACAACATCCTAAACTCAGCTTCCTGTCTCCAAACTCTCACCCATAAATGGCTGACCCCAGAAGACTGTGTTCTAATGGGTCCTGTAGCAATGGGAGGACCTGCGGGACAATTGTTTCTCCAGGTCCTTAAAAATGGACTTCAAGGCCCAGCCTGTTGAGCTCCCAGTCTGGTGGGCAGCATCTTTACTGTCTACAGAAATGATGTGTAGCAGCACGCAGGGGGAGGTGACACTGTTGACAAGCAAATTTAAAGGAAGAGCCTGACTTTCAAGCAGCTCTGCTCTTGTGCATTCACCAGCACCTACGAGCGTTCAAATCATGAGGATGTAGCTCAAGCTATTTTCTTCTATGAGGAATCTGTGCAAGCCATCGCCTGCACACACACCTTCACAAGGACCCTTCAAGTCCTCCGGAGCTGAAGATCATCGTACCCTGTTTAGCCCCCAGCCCATCTCTTTCCTGCTCCACCTCCCCTGTGATGCCACCTCTGAAGACGCCTTGGCAGCGCCTCTTATCTAGAGGCAGGAGAGCCCGAGAGCCTCGGTGCACAAGTGAACAGCAAACAGAGCCTCTCGAGCTGCTGCCTGTGTGAAAATGCCCACGTCTGACAGCTGAGTCACGCTGTCAGCTGACTCGAGGCAAATAAAAAGTGGGAGGTGGAACAATGTTACCTGCTGAGAGGTTTGATGCGGTATCTGGAGCAGGAAAGCTCCCCTGAGAGAGGGGTGGAAAGGAGGAAGAAACATCTCTCATGTTTTAGGAATGAGGGGCAGAGGCATCTTCCGAAATCAAGGTTGATCAGCAGTGCTGAACCCAAAGTGAGAACTTAAACCTTAGTTTAGGGGAAGCTGCTTATCACCCTCCTCAGCTGTCATCCTCATTCCCTCTGTCCTTTACCCCATTCCAAGTAAGCTGTGGAAAGGTGGTGCAGTTCCCTCGTAGCTGTAGCACGGGAACCAAGCAGAGCTCCCTGGAAGGGGCTGCAATGCAAGGCCAGCCCACACATGGAAGAGCTCAGTGCCACATCTCCCCTAATGCAGGTCAGGGTGCTGATGGGATGTGGCCACAGCCAGCACTGGATTTGCACCAGTTTGCCCAGCAGAGGACAGCTGAACCATGTAGCTCCCAAGCTAAAAACAGGAACTGGCACAACTGCATCTAGTAACTTGAATTGAAAATTGAGTTTGACTCCCTTCCAGCAAAATGTTACAAACCCTAATCCCTGTTTCATATGACAAACACTAAAATCCATCACTGCTTTGTGTCTAAGAAGTCATGGAACAGCAGCTTGCTCCTAAGACACCTGGGGACACAACTTGTCTCTGCAAAAGCATGAGATCTGTACATTCACAAGGGTCGCTGTCAAGACTGGCACTAAGGCAAGGAAAGGGATGGAGTCTTTCCCAGGCAAGGGACACAGCCAAGTGCACTGGAAGCTCACAGTTACCTTTTAACACCATCTGCAGTGTAACTCTCAGGGCAGGGGGGCTCTGGCTGAGGTTTGAGGATATCACTGAAGAGTAGCGACTGTAGACAAGAGGAAACAAACCAGTCAAAATAGAATCTTTCATTGCTCTGTCCATCCGCCTTCTCCTGGACGTTACAACAGAGACCACAGATAAAAAAAAAGGACCCTCATTTGATTACCCTACTTCCAAAATCAACGTAACCCCCCCCCCAGCAATTCAATGGGAACAGCATCAAGGTTCTGATGCAAAAGCAAAGCTCCCACTGGCTCCAGCACGAGCAAACCCCAACTAGGGGCAGTGCCCTGCAGCACCCACCCGGGCTCTGCTGCCAGCATGCACCCCACCATGAGCTCTGACCTCCTGGGGATCCTCTTTGAAAGTGCTGTCTGGCTGCCACCTCTGCTGCGGTGGGGCTATGGGGATGGTCTCGAACAGGGAGTTCAGTGAGCTGTTGTCGTATACATCCCCTGGAGGGACCAAGTAGTTGTCCGGGGCGGCATCCAGCTTGCTAGTGCCTGGTGGAATCATGGCTGGCTTGTGAGGAGGAGGGACTCCTTCAAGACTTAGGCCGTTCTTCTTCTGTGGTTCACAATAGTCTTGGGTCATGGAAACGTTTTCAGACAAGAGCTTCATGAGGTGGGCTGAGCCATCAAAGGATGCGATCTCCGCGTCGTACTCCATTCCGTGGCAGTGCCTGGTGGAGAAAGGGGTCCTGTCTCAGACCAGGGCAGAGCGTGGACAACCCCAGCAAGATGCAAGTGCCTTGATGTGCTGCTGGGAAGCAAACTGCATAGTTTGGCTGCCAGCTGACCCTGAGTCAGTTGTGTACATCTGCTTGAGATGGGAGATCTGACAGGCCCATGGGTGATCTCCACCCACCCGCACACCTCTCAGTGCAATCAACAAGAGCCAGAGGTGCTCAGCAGATACAGGATGATCACAGGGAATCAGAGAACACAGTTTAGATGTGGTTTGAGGCTCCAGATCCAGGGCCTACATCCATTATTTCTTTATTTAGGCTATTAAACATTCAGAGCAGCAGGGATGATAAGAAAGGTAACTGCTGTGCGGTCTTTCCATTTTTATCTTTATAGGCCTCAACTCACAAACTCCAGAAGTTCAGGATGCAAAACTCCCCGAGCACATGAGATCAGTGAAAATCTGAGAGGTGCAAGACTGAAGTGAGGTGTCTAGCCCAGACTTCGGAGCAGAAAAGACCAAGTCGAGTGATAAAGTCAATAAAGACACGTACAAAACCACACTCCTCTCGCACATGGAAACCATCCCTTTGTGCAGCATCCCAGGAGCCAGGCCCTTCTGCAGCAGTGACTCTGTGACCCCGCTGCCTCTGCAGCCCCAGCTGAGGTGGGAAAGGGTGGTTTACTGCCCCTGTCACCACGCTCAGACAACAAACCACCCCCCATATTAGCCACCCACACACCTCCTGGCAGCGTGAGCCGCCCCCAAGGGAAGGAAAGCTGAAGGAGCAGCTCCCACCTGCTGCTTCAACAGCTTCACCTTCAGGTATATGCTGCAATTTCCACAGCTAACGAAACCCGCAGCAGTGGCCTTTCACAGAGAAAACAGCTTAACTCAGCTTCCTTCTGAAGAAGTAATGAAGTATCACTCAAGAGGCTTATTCTTGTCAGGTAGTTAAAAACAGACAACCAGAGAAGTTTGCCAAAGTATGAAGCATCAGGAAGGGGAACTGAACTCACAGCAGCAAATGAGCCATTAATATAGGAGTTAATTATCTGGAAACCTCAAAGGACAAATGGGAGTCACTGAAAGAGTATCTTGAGAGATTGGAAGCAAGTGGTACAGAAACCCTTGTCAACCCAGGGAACGGAAGAGGACTTGGTCATTCCCTTCTTGCTGCCAGTGTTTAATCATCATCCCCTTTCCAACTGTCACAAAGTAGGAAATAAAGACAAATTCCTCAGCTGCTGCAAATCATCTCCTCTAACACAGCTACACAGATCCTCAGTTGTGCAAATGGGTGTAGCTCAATTTATACCTGCTTGGGATCTGGCCTAAAGAATTTTAATATATGTCTCAGGGTTAATAACCTCCACTGTTGTTGGTAATAACACCGTGCTTTGATGTCTATTTTATGCAAGCTAAGAGACCCATCACACATGCAAGCAGCTGCAGGAGAATTAGACAGCTATAGAGAGCAGAAAGTGAAGCTCACCTCTTTCCTAGTTCATTGCGTCCCATCATACCAGATGGAAGGATCCTCTTCTCCTTTGGGACCTAGAACAAGGCAGAACAAAGAGTTTGTTTCCTGTTAGATTTTATTAATGGCAAAATCAGCCTTGTCTGTGCAGCAAGTGACATCTCAGAGGTAGAACACTGGGGGAACTGAGCACTGCGGGAGGACACAGGAGACCTGAGCTCTCCTGCTGGGCTGCTGCCATGGACTCCCAAGGTAACCTTAGGCCAGACACATCATCTTGTTCTGGGAGGGACCTTCAAAAGCACCCCAGTGAATGGGAACTTTAGTCCTATTGGTTTCAATTAGGGCTAAATCATATCCACATTTCTTGAAGCTCCATCCTACAGCAGCACTGGAAAAACACAGATGTGAGGGTCTGCAAGGCACAGAGCTAGTCCAGCTCCATGGCCCTCAGGGTACTGCTGTTTCTTGTATGAAAGCTGCTGGGTAAATAAACCCTGCCTGATCCATGACACCTGAGTTCAGCTTTCCACCCTGCTCGGGGTTCCCTCTGCAGTATAATGGTGTTTTGTGCCTCAGTTTACCATCTGTGCACCGGGGACAACAGCGGTCCTCTCTGCCTGGGGGTGTTAGGAGGACCACTGCAAAAACACCACAGAAGGCTCACTCTAGTGAACTAGCCCCCCTAAGGTGGCTGAGCATGTATTTAGCTTCCCACTTCCCCTCTGGGACAAACTCCCCCCAGGACACCCAGCCCCATGGGAACGTACCATGTAGTAGTCATAGAGGAAGCTCAGAGCAGCCACGCTGTCGTCATCCCCATTCACCCTCATCATAGCTTTGGTGGCTGCAGTCAAGGGGTTCTCCAGGTAAGTTTTCCAGGCTTCATCTTCATTGGTGTAGGGGAATTTCTGGAAGTTCATGGTGTCATTCTTCATCAGACGCACAGATCTAAAACTGAGCCAGACAGGAGAATGAAGGACACTAATTTTCCACAGCAATTTCCAGCTGCACACATGAAGGACTTCCTAAAGGCACTGCTGGAATGGAGAAGGTATTCTTTCCTGGTTCTTAACTCCCAGAGTCTTTGGGATTACCAATTCTTTGCCTGTAGCTATGTACAAAATAAGCCTAGAGTCTGCTGGTGGGGCCATGCAGAAGGGCAGATGCTCCTCTGCTTCCCTCCTCTGGCCCCAGGGACACAAAACACCACAACATCATCTGCAAGGGCTCCTTCCTCAGCAGGAGCACACTACCAGCCTGCTGGGTCATGCACCATCAGGGTGCAAGGTACTGACCATGTTGGTCAGCAACAGGAATGCAACCTGGTCAGGAAACTGCAGGATTTTTCCTTGAATTTGGAGCTAAAGACCAGTGCAGGCCACAGATGTAAACGATCACTCAGTCTGTGGAGAACTTGATCTACCCAGAAACCAAACCCCATCATTTTTCTTTGCTGTAGCTCCTACATTTAGATCCGATGGAATTTTGTTTTCAATCATTTGTATATGATTGTACTTCGAAGGGGAGCAAGAGGCAGATCACAACAGCCTCCCTTCCGCTCAAAAATTCCTGACAAAGGTGAGGCCCATGGGACTACGTGAGCTGAGGAGCAACATACCAAAATAATGCCCTGCCTGTCCCCTGCGCTGGCACTTTCTCCAGGTCTCTCCACCTGATGTTAATAAACTGAGACACTTAATTACCCAAACATTGGTCATCTTTCCTCTTCCTCCAGCAGATCCTGCTGGCAGCCAGCTCAGAAGCACAGAAGCCCATTCCCTGGGTGCTTCGTGCTGCAGGTTCACTGCTCAGAGGGGAGGATAAACCAGGGGCCGTGCTCCTGTCCCATCCTCCCGCCATGTGTATTGGGTGCCACCACAACAGCTCCCACTATTCATCATAAAGAACAACTCTGTGGACAAAAATGACTTTTTCATCAGAATAGAAACGTCTCAGACGTTAGGAGCAGAAGTACTTTATAACAATTCTAATGAGATTCTTTAAATCCCCAAAGTTGCCACGAGCAGAACGTTTTCAACTGCTGAATTGTTTTTATGCAAAAGCAAAGAAAATCTTCAGGACTTCAGGTGATGAATGATAAATGCTACATTTTAATGGCACTTTTATACGGAATATGTTGTTTCCATTAAGCTACTCTCCGTGTGTTTGTAGTAAGTCCTGGGCTAGACTTTTAACTGACTCATTGGGAGAAGAGTAATTCCTCTTGAAAGGAATCTGGCATCTCTGAAACTCGCCACTCGTTACTGCTCACCACTACAGACACTACCAGCCCCTTTTGGTGTGAGCTGCCAGGGTGAAGAGCCAGGTGCTCAGATCAGCTCCTGGACTGGAATCTGGGTGGATGTGGAGGTGGACCTGGGATGGGGTGAAGGATGCTGGTCCATCCTCCCTGGCAACCCAAGGCGGCTTAGCTCCTGCACAGGCACCGATCTCTCGCTGCCTCATCTCCAGCAGGGAATGCACATGGGTAGCTTAGGGATGCTCCTGGGTCAGATCCAAGAGCTCTCCTTGGCTGGGCAGAGTGGCAGCCCTACAACGAATCGCAGTCTCTCCCAGAGCAGCACAGATGAGGCCATCAAGTGCAGCCTCTGCTGTCCTGTCGCCTTTTTATTGCAGGATCTGTTGCTTCCACACAGCGTCCCTGAACTGCACAGGAGAGGAGCAGAGAGCAGCTCAAATAATGGCCAGAGGCACCAGGTTCCCAATGGGCACCAGAGCTCAGGCTGGTATGGACAGAGCTGCTCCCACATTACAGTTCTGGCACCCCAAGCTCCACCACGCGCTGGTGTAACAGAGTCGCTGGGTTTGCTCCTGCTCTCCCTCGCACGTCAGGGGATGTTCAACCACCGGTTTCAGCCCGTGCAGGAGCTGCACCAGGTGCTGATGGAGTTTCGTTGTCTGTGGTGTTTCTCACACAGCCCTGCCTCCCCTTCAGTGCTGCTGCTGTCTCCGAGGTGAGCACTCCCGTGACTCACATTTCACTGCTGTCGACTTGGCGATGGGCTGTTCAGTCCTGTCCGGGCAGGAATCCTCACCCATCCTCAATCCGATCTGCTCTAGGAAGAATAGGCAGCAACAGAGCTCACTCTCGGGGTGAGACTCGGCTCCTATCACTCGTAATCGACATAGATAAACACACCGTGGAAAGATGTAGCAACAAAGCGTTCAGGAGCTTAAAAATCACATATATTACAAGGAAAAAATGCTTTGGAGCTCCGGTCTCCCTCACCCACGCCTTCAGCTGAAGCACTCCCTGTTGTGTGGCTCCATTTGCCTCCTCTCTTCATCACCTTGTTGTGGCACCGCCACTGTAGGCACAAGTGCTCCAGCCTTTTATCACCTGCCTTCAGTTCCTGAAGATACAAGTTTGGGAAGTGTCCTAGGAGGCTGCATTTCATCTTCACGTGTGGTTTCTGCCTCCGCTGGGCAGCTCTGCTGTGCTGCTCGCAGACATCACCACCTCACTGCTGCCCCACGCCTCTGCTAGGAACTGTCCCTGCAGCAGAGACAGCGCAATGGAAAACCTGCCCTGCCCTCAACCTGGCACAGTGCAGAAGGGCACTGTCCTGAAGTCACACACCATGCCCTGAACTTGACATGTTGCCCTGTGGTGTCCTGTTAGGAAGCAGCAAACTCCAGCAGAAAGGAGGGACTGGAAGATTAGGACAGCAACGTTTTAGGCTACTCCTAAAGACATCCGAGTCCAGATCCAAACTATCCATTGCTCCCTGTGATGCCCCTTCCATAGGGCTATGCCATGGCGGTCCACTGCAAGCTGTGCGCCCTGTTTGGCAAAGCACACGTCCCTTTTGCAGGCTGCCACCCCGGTGTAGAGCAAGGATGGATGAGTGAAACACGGACATGAGCAGGGACTCACCCCTGCAGCCTCGGGCACAGCACCGCATGGTTTGGGGAAGGGAGCAGCCTGTTTGTTTCCAAACAGTTTAGAATCTGACACTGGGTGATACCAGCCCCTTCCCCGTCCATCCCACCCATCTCTGTTTGCCCTATTCATCTCCCACATCACGGGCCTCCCGGTTATGAGCTAACGCTCAGGGCTGTGCTGAAACAGGAGAAAAGGCCCAAAGGGTGGTGGTGGGGAGACCAGCCGGGCAGGAGACCCGTGGTGTTCCCTGGGCCTTTGCTGGGTTTCAGTGGGTGGTTTGGCCAGCCTTGAAGCATTGTGCTGCTCTTTGTTCTCTCCCCTACAACTGATTATGGCTGCAACCAACGCATCAGTCATGCCGATGCTGGTGGCTTCAGAGAAACAGCACATGGCCAAGGGAGCAGGGAATCCGTGGCAGCAGCAGCAGGAATTTGAAGCCACAGAACACAGACCCCAGCCCAGGACCTTGGAGCCACCCCAGGAGCTCACACGGGGCTGTATCAGCCCTGGCTCTGTGCTCACCTCCCCGAGAGCTCTCACCAGTGCCATGAGGAAGGCTCAACACTAAACCCAGAGAGCGGCGCTGCTGAAGAGCAGCACCCACCATGATTGCTTTTGGGGTGGAGGCTTTAGGCTGTAAACCAGGGCCCTTGCCAAGGCACAGCAGCATTCCAGAGTGGCCTCTGCTAACCCCAGCTTCCCAGTGAAATCCTGATTTTACCCTGTCTTTTCCAGTTGAACAAACAAGCCCATCTGAGGCCAGTGGGGCAGGACAGCCACCAGTCAGTGCACTGCCACAGGCTGGCACAACTGACAGAACCAGGCAAAAACCCACAAAGAAGTGTAACAAACACACAGGCTAATGATGGGGAACATGGCCTGGATGCCAAGCACAACGCACCCAGGTATCCCAGGCCTGGGAGACCACTGATCTCATGAACCTGCCCTGCCTGAAGGGCTGCAGTGTTTGCTCTGGCAGCTGGATCACAACGTGGCCTCCCTTGCTGGGCTTCTTCAGGGCCATTTCCGCAGCACCATCACCTCGGGGTAGCGCAGTTTTAACTCAGCACCACAGCAGGACCTTTCCTCATCACCCCTCAGCCCCGTTTCACCCACAGACAGTGCTCAAGCCTCTTCTGGAAGCATGTGGCTTGTTGGCACACACATGAGACACGAGCACGCCAAGGGCCCAGCTCGGCATTCTCCCATTTTCACACCAGCTGAGCTCCCTGCTTCTGACGCTATTTATTACCACGGGGAGAAACCAAGGCAGGGGGCTGGCATTAAAATGGCTTCTCCAAGGCTGCTCAGTGAAGATGAGAACAGAACAGACCCGAACCTCTGCTGCAAAGCCCCAAGCCAGCACTGGCTGGTTCCTGCCCCTGTCCCCTGAGGGGCTCCATGAGCCACCTCGGTGCTGAGTGATGCTCGGGGAACACCAGTCGGCACCGCGTCATTCCCGATAACATCGTCCTGAGGCAGCCACCCACACGGCCCCATTTCACACAGGATCCCTGCTCTGGTGCCCTCCCTGCCTAACAAAACAAATGACAGCATGGAGCTGCTCAGGAATCACTGCTGCCTTGGAGCAGCAGCAGTGTGTGATGTCAGGCGCCACAGCTCCGAGCGTCCTGAGCTTCAGGGGGACCTGAACCCAACGGGAGGGCACGAAACCCAGGCCCTGGGCAGTGCCCCCCAGCTGAGCACCCCTTCTGCAACACCACTATGAGCTCTGCTCAGTTTCATTGCAGACAGCCAAGGATGGCTGTGATAGGAGCACCTCCTGTATGGAGACAGGCTGAGAGAGCTGGGGCTGTTCAGCCTGGAGAAGAGAAGCTGCGTGGAGACCTCAGAGCAGCTTCCAGTGTCTGAAGGGGGCTACAAGGATGCTGGGGAGGGACTCTTCATCAGGGACTGTAGGGATAGGACAAGGGGTGATGGGTTAAAACTGAAGGAGGGGAAGTTTAGATTGGATATAAGGAGGAAATTCTTTCCTGTGAGCGTGCTGAGGCACTGGAATGGGTTGCCCAGGGAGGTTGTGAGTGCTCCATCCCTGGCAGTGTTCAAGGCCAGGCTGGATGAGGCCTTGGGTGACCTGGTTTAGTGTGAGGTGTCCCTGCCCATGGCAGGGGGTTGGAACTGGATGATCTTAAGGTCCTTTCCAACCCAAACTATTCTATGATTCTATGATTCTGTGTGTGTGCGTGGACATAAACCTGCATCCCCACCAACGCTCTGCACTGGAGCTCCCAGTCCTTCAGACACCCTAAGGAAGGTGACACACGGTGAGAAGAGCTTCAGAGCTCCAAGAGTTTTGGTGATTTCAGTCAGCTTTTTCTGTTTCAGTGCCTACGGATTTCCCCCCTCCTTCCACATCCAAAACCCTACTTTGCTGGTTTACTTTTTAATTCTCATGTATTCGCTGTGGCTTTTAAAGAAAATATAATAAGAATCATTAAAAAAAAAAATCACAGTTTTACGAGGCTTAGACTTACAAGGCTTTAAAAACCCAACCACTCCACAATAAAGGGATATGTGATCTTCTGCAACAAAGTTGTTTTGTTTTTTCTTCGTGTAATCTGGCTTTAATCTAGTAATCAGTTCTTAGGGGTTATTTGTGCTGCAGCAGGGCCCAGAGGCCTGCCTGAGAACAGAGCCCACTTATACCCAAGTTCCTGTAGTTCCCTCACCACATCCTTTCGGAGGATCCTGCAATAACAAATAAAGGATGTGACATACTCCTGTGTGAATCTCAACACGCGTTTCAGGCAGCAGCAAGAGCAGAGATTGGGATTAACCTCACGGGAGCTGAGTCTCAGGCTTCCTACCTGCTCTGAGAGCCAGGAGATGGTCTGGAGCTCCCACCTGGGGCTGGGATGTGCTGATCCCTTCCCATCACCCACAAGTGCAGTCACTGCCCAGCGCTGGCACCCGGCTTTGACCCTGCTGCAATGGGTGAGGTGAATCCTCCCATGGGTTGCCCAAGAGGCCACAGGAAGCGTGTGCCGGGGCAGGGCACCCCGCAGGAGCCTCACGCCATGCAGCTCGCTCCCTGCCCTCCTCCAGCAGCACTGCAGGCCTGGTGAGGGGCTCTCACCGCTGGCTCCCCTTTGCTTCCATCTGGTGCAGGTCAGAGCTCAGCTGCCCACAGCTCCGACAGCACCCCTGACTGACGACTCTGTATGTCCCTGTAATGTCCCTGCCTATAGCAGGGGATGGAACTTGATGATCTTCAATGGCCCTTCCACCCCAAACCTGCCTGTGATTCTCTGCAGACTCTGGTGTGTTCTGGGTGTCCTGTGAACACGTGTTCCCCAAGGCAGGCTAGCCTTTTGTGTGCTGTTGAATGAAAAGCTGCCATAATGCGTTTGAAGCACTGGTTTTGCCAAGCAAACACAATTCAGCCCATTTCAGGCACAGCCCCAGCCAGCCAGGGGTGTCTGGAGCGCACAAGTTACAGCTCAGACAGCACAGACAGGAGGATGAGCAGAAACAAAAACGTGATGCAGGAGGCAGCTGCCACCCGGGATCCGAGTCCCTTGGGAAGCGACACCAGCTCTTTTCCTCTAAACGTGGGTTGCCAAGGACTGGTTGTGGGTCAGAGCTACCTCACCCATACCACAGCCACAGCTACCAGCCAGAACAGCCTGCACCCGAAGGAGCAACAAAAACCAAGCCACCCCATTGAAGCCTTTGGAACTCAGGTGTGAGCAGCAGAGCCCCAGCCCGAACACAGCCATGTGCCACACAGCCAGCGCCGCTGATGAACGCGTTCTTCAGCCACTGCCTTTTCCTTCCTCGAGCTCTCCCTGCCCCAGGATCCGAGGTGTGGATCAGGAGCTGTCTCACTGCCAATCAGCTGAACTGAGGCGCTGCAGGTGCAGCACAAGTGCAAGTGCGTTTGCGGATGAAGACTTGAAGAGATCAGCAGTTAAACACTGGCAGAACAAAGCGGGAGCAGATCCTCCTCAGCCTAACTTCCTATCCGCAAACTTCTCCGGAGCCATCCCCACGTACCCCTGAGCTGAAAACGCGACCCAGCGCATCAAAGCAGCGGTACTGTGTAAATGTTGATTTACCTCTGCTTTGAGTCTGCGCTTTATTCAGAGGGCTCTTACTCCGTTGTGAACTGCACAGCAGTTATGGGATTGTTGTTTCTTTAATTTACAAAATCTCTCTTTCTCTTTACTTAACTTAAGCCCCGTCTCCGCTGAAAGCCACTTGCTGCAGCACGGTGATCCCCCGTGTGCTTCACTGCCAGCCTTTTATAAAAGGGCTTTAACTTTTCATTCACCAGGAGCATAACTCAAGTTTTAATAACACACCTTATGCATGACAAAAATTTGCTTCTGGCGATCATGGTTTCGACCACAAAACCACAACTGGGAGTAACTCCTGGTTAACTCTTTCAAGCCCACGCACTGCAGAGTTAGACAGAAGTTCAATTTAGAAGACTATGGAAATTATCAGTTAGAATATTTTATAATAGGCAAAACACCTCCTTCTCTCATGCCATGCTAGGCTCTTCCCAGTCCTTTTAGTGAAATTAAAGTGGCAAAGGGAGACATGGGATTGTTCTCCCCGACGTCCTGGCTGGCAGCACCAGTCCATGGGGATATCACAGCTCCCTTAGAACCAGGCCCGTGGTCACTGCACAGATCCATCCTCCCAGCGCTCAGCTTGTCCTGGGGGTTGTGTAAAGCACAACAGATGTGCCAGACACACAGAGAGCACCACTGCCCTTATCAGATCCCCTAAGAGCCTTTTCCTTCCTCTGATGTCTACAAAGCTACACCCTGATGACTCTGGCCTGGGTGATTAACAGCCACTGCAGCAGCCCCACTGCCCAACGTGGGGCTTTAGCAGCTCCTCACAAGGTGTCCCCTCCTCTGTGACACCTTTTTCCCCTCACAGGACCCAAAGTCTGGATGTTTCAGCTATAACTCTGGTACTGCCAAGCTCCCGGCTTCCTTACCTCCGATCACTGCTCCCCACTGTTCCCTGGGGTGCTCAAGCTCACGGTGCACTCAAGGACCCCAGGGGTGGCCCCAGCAGCCCTGAGATCATCCCTGCATTCCCCAGGGAGGGATGAAGGGCTACAGTGATGTTTCCAGCTATGGTGACATTTCCAGAGCTCTGCAAGCCTGTTCTCAGGTTCCATCCACAGGAAAAGGCTGCCAAGAGCCCTTTGCCTCCCGGGGTGACCAAACACAGACCCCCAACCAGGTGTGGCACCCCCCAGATGTGTCCCCAGGACAGGGCAGGGGCTGAGCCCTGAATCACAAAAGGGATGGATGCTGCTCCCATCAACTCCCCCTTTCCCATGCAAAAGGCACAGGGGTTAACAGCCCGTTAGCAAGAGAGGAGTCAAGCAACCATGTAATTCATCAGGTAACACAATGCCCCAGCCCATAATTAGCAATACATCAATCTAACGCTGCAGCACTGTGAACACAAACACTGAAACATCTGAAGCAAAGCACACGGCCCGATTTACACATTTAAAAAGCATCAGCTATAAATTACCCTGAGTCCAGAAAGCAATCTCCCTCAGTGATCCTGAGTGGATCCCGGCAGATCGATCCCAGTATTTACACACAGCAATAACTGGTGCTGCACCTCCTCGGGGTTGTTAATTATTAAGAGAGCAGCTGTCAGAGCACCTCTGGCACGTGTTTGCTTTCAAAATGCACCTTCCGAAGCACCGCATCCGCACACAGATGCTTGGACATGGACAGGGATGGTAAATTCTATTACACACACGTACTCCACCAGGGTTATTTACACGCCTATTGAGCTTTATGAGACGGGGCTGACAGCAGCATTCCCAACCACTGGTCAATACTCCCCAGGTCCCCCCTTCATGTCACAGCAATATGACATTTCTCTGTTTACCCCAGAGGGGTGAGGCGTGATGTGCTATGGGAATGCATCCCAGCAGTGGCCAAAGTCCAAACTATTGTGGAGGTCCCAAATCAGAAGCAAGAGCTCTAGAGGATCAACAAGTGCTTTCTGGGTGCTTTTTCTTGTTAAAAAAAAAAGTAATCAATTACAATTATTTGATAGGATCATAACGTGATCCATTTACTGAAACCAAAACACATGTGACACTAAAACCAAACAAGAACAAAGAACACCACCACACAACAACCCTCACCCCCCAAAAAAACAGAAACCGGTAAATAATTTGGAAGGTGTTTTCTGAGGGGAAGAAAAAAAAAAAGGGAAAAAAAAAGAAAAAAAAGGGGGAAAAATAAAAAAAAAACACAACCAAAATCCCCCCCGCCCCGAATTACTGCAGCTCTGTAGCTTGTGTTGGATGTTGCTGGCTAGAGGCAGCACAGTCTCGCCTGCAGGCAGAAACTCTGGGTGTCAAGTCTTAGTCTGGGAGAAAAAAAAAATCAGGATCATGATTTTAAAAATCATGCTCAAAAAACGTAAAAACAAAAAAAAAAACCCAAATCCAACCTCTTCAGGCCCTGGGAAGGGGCTCCTCCTGGGAGCAGCGGCATGGGGAGCAGAGGGAGCAAGTGCTTTCACCTGCGAACAGCCCGGCTCTGATGCCCCCGGAGCCGCGGCGCTCGGAGCCGCTCAGGCGAGCGCGCAGCCTTGCGAGGGGGGAGTGGGTAAACAGAGAAGGAGCTTTACTTACTCCAGTTCATTGGACATCCTCCGTGCGTCCCGGGCTCCGCAGGCAGTGAGCTGCGAGCGCTGCTCCCCGCTAGCACCTGCCGTGCACAGGCATCGCCGGTTATGCGGCGCGGTGCGCAGGTTTGGTGCAGCCAGGATTGGCTGCTGGTACAGGTGCCTGGGACAGGTACACCCAGGCAGGTGCAGCGTCACCCTGCGCCGTCACCCTGCGCCCGACCGGAGGGAGGTGGGTGGGGAGGAGGGAAAGGCCCCGGGGGGGAAAGATAGGATAAAGGAGTGGAATCAGGTATTCATCTCTGGGATAATTAGTTTCAGTTTGGTGGACGTGTTCCATCTACTGCAATGCCAAAGAGCTGTCATTTGTACGGATCTGGGGGTTGATTTGTCCTCTGCTCTTTCTTTATGTATAAATATACAGACAAAAATGCATACCTACTTATAAAGGAATAAATGAGGGAAGAAGAAAAGCCTCTTTGCTTCCTCTCATTCCAAAACGGTATTTGTACTCACAGGCTAACCTTCTCTTCCCTTTTCTCACCCTCTCTTCGCTGCTCACTGCAGAAAGGCTCCGCAGGTGTGGGTTTGGGGAACCCCCCCCCCCCCCCTTTTAGAACCCCCAACTTCAGATGCTGAGACATGCAGCAAATACCCCAGCTCAGGGAACCTTTGCATTTCACTGTAAGGCAGAGACCTGAGGGATAACCCCTTCCCGTACCGCTCACAGCCCGGTCCTGCGGCTGCAGTGCAGGCAGGAGCGTCGCTGCAGCACGCACAGGGTGCAGCAGGCAGCTCGGACACAAGCCACTTGGGCTGCAGGAATACCACCCAGGCAATAGCTCTGTAGCAACTCACCTGTAAACGGGGAAAAGTTTTATGCAATAGAACAAAACTCATCATGGATTCAAGCGCTCTTGTTGGATGGTTTCTGTCATCCGTGTTGCAACGAGGAGGCAAAGGATGGGCTCAGCGGGTGACTCATGTTGACTGGATTTGGAAGGCAGGAGAGGATTTTACAAGACAAGTTGGTACAAGCCTTAAAACAAAGGGAAGCAGAAAGGCTTCCACCACTCATTCTCACCCCCCATCACTGTCTCACTCACTGAATCAGTCCCGCTCGGTGCCCTGCACCAGCAGGTGAATGGAGGAAGCTGGTGAGCTCTTCCTCCACACTGCAGAGTTCAGCTCTGCTGACCTGGTGAGAAGTGCCCACTCAGGCAGGCGTGAGGCATGTCTGCACAGGCAGCTGTGAAGACAGAGCGTGTTAACGTGGGTACAACACCCTTCAAACACATCTCTGTGGCTTCTGGCTCAGAGCACGGCCAGCTCGGGGTGCAGGACCAGGAATGACCATGGTGTATCTGCACTGGCTGATGAGGACATGCTGGGCTGAGCCTGACCCAAGCAGCAGCCGTTGGCCTCAGCTCTGCTGTGCAAACTCCTGCATATTAGGAACCTAGGGACTGGACAAAGTCTGATTTCTGGGAATGAAAACCAAAGGTTTAGAGCAATGCAAACTCCACTGGAGATCACTGTTGAGCACCAGCTGCCAGACCTTGCGCACCAGAGTACAGCAGTAGCCAAAAGCCAGCTGAATGGGGACTGATGATCAGAATCGATGCCACAGCGGACACCAGGCAGGGTGAGAGGACAAAAAAAGAAGGAAAAGAAGAAGGAACACGTGCTTCCCATCCAGCCAAGGGAAGCACAAACCTTACGCAGTGCTGACATTAGTTGATCAATATCCTGATTCTATCTCCAAATTAAGGAAACCATGCCCAGTTCCTGATGACCTGAGTCACAGACCTGGTACCTGTCCTGCGCCCAGATCAGCAAAGGGTATCTCACTGACTCTGGGTAGCGCAAAGAGCAGCAACGTTCCTTGAGGATACTTCCAAGATTCTTCAGACCTTTCAGAGAGACTCACCAGATTCCAGCAACGAACTGGAACAAACTCAGTGCCACCATGGCCAGGCCAAATCCACCTCGGGACGGAAACATTCGGGTTTGCAGACTTGGCCTTTTGCAGGGCAGCAGCAATGGTGCTACCTGCTGCTCCCTGACAGGGGACAGACGACCCTTCATCTGCCTGGAGCTAAGCTCTGTCACCAGCATGCTGATGGCACAGCTTTGTTTCCACCTTTGGGGTTTAAGCCCACCCCTGCTAACCTGCACGTGCTCCAGCTCGGGTGGAAGTGGGGACAGGCAGGGCTCATCTGGGCTCACCACGCTCTTGGTGCCACTGTCTGCATGCCTGATCCTGCCTCAGTGTGTCTGGAGTCTGTCTGGGAAGCCACGAGGTCCCTCGGGAGGCTGGGAAACACTGTCAGAAAGGACAGAAACACAGGTTATCCTCGAACAAATGCCCTGGCACTCCAAAAGGGCAGCCCTGACTCTGGCTTTAAGTCATGCTCAGATTTGCTGCCGCTGACCCAGGACCTCATTTTCTTGTTTTGAGGATCTTAGTGCCATGGCGGAATGGGAAACTTTGCCAGGTGAGAAGCTTGTTCTCACATCCGGGTTTATTTCCTATGGCCGGTGCCATGCACCTGCCCACTGAGCACCTCCAGCCTCCTTGGCAAAACGCTCCCAGCAGAGACCAGCCCCTTTGTGTCGGTGCTGTGGGGCCTGGACACACGTCTGTCTGCTTCATGGCACCACCAGCTGGAGTTCGGTCCCTTGGACACCTCTCAAAGCCAGATGAGGATGTTATCGACTCCCTGTGGCTGGTCCCTCACAGCCCTCCCTGAGCCAGTTTATCCCCATCACGGGAGGGTCTGGCCGACCACAGCACACACCGCCGGTCCAGGGGGATGTGGGAAGCAGGGACAGGGACAGTGGCACCACCAGGCATCACTGGGCCTCCAGCAGCTCCTTGGCTTGGCCTCTCCCATTCTCTTGGGCACTTCTGTCTCTTTTGTGCTCATGGATGCTCTATGGCGCCGGGGAGGCCTCCAGGCCGGGACGCCCAGACAAAGCCTTTGACTGGGATTTCAGTGGTTTTAATTATTATTTTCTCTTCTTTTTTTCTTTTTTTCATTTATACTCCACCCTCCAAGAGTATCTGGTGAGGGGGTGGGTTAGAAGAAAGAGACCAAGAGATACATTCTCTGTGCACAAACCCCTCCCACTTCCCCTCCACTCCCCTGTTAAATACACCTTGGAACAAAAGCCCTTTATGATGCTCTAAAAATAAAGCATGCAGCAGTCAAGACAAACTGCAGAGTCTAAAAGGGAAGGCCAAATTTTGCTCACAGCTACACCCTCTCTAAGGCAACAGGGCTGCTCTTGTGTTTGGATTGTTAAACCCTCCTCAAACATCCAGGGACTGACTGTGATCGCCTGCGTTTCACTAGTGAGAGATCGGCAGTTCCATGGTTAAAGGCAACATCCCTCACCAGGTCCCCAGGCCTTGGACACCGTGCTGGGACGGGATGGGTCTGTGTTGGGAAGAGCTGCCCGAGGTGCAGTGCAGGGCTGTCACCGTGCCACCCCCATGGTCCTGCAGCTCCCCCCACCACCCATGTGCAGCGTGACCTGGGATAAGTCACTTCACACTCCCTGCTCCCAGTCTGGCTTCTTTTCTCTATAACCTGTAAGAAACTTCAAAGCAAGGACTTTAATCCCTTTAGGATACACAGCTTTTCCCACTGACAGCTGTCAAACACCCTTTCCAGCCGTCCTGTGATGTGCCAGGAATTTCAGCTCTCTTTGGCCAAAGGTTATTAAAACACTTCCAGCAATTAATAGGCAGTAAGAGGAAGCAGCCTGCAGCAGGTTGGCGTGAGCTGTGCTCCAAAGGGAGATGCGGCTGCTTCAGGGGCTCTTCCAGCCAAAATCAGAGCTTGTGCCATAGATGTTTGTGGAAACCTTTGATACCCAGACCCGATGCTTTCCCAGTGCAACTCCCTCTGCCTCCAGAGCCTTTTCCTTGGGAAGGCAGAACAAAAAAGCTCATCTGGAACTAACTTGGGCTGCAAGTCTTAGAGCGGCAGGACTGCCCTTTCGCACTGTTTGCACAGCACACAGCACAACACAGGCTACAGCTGGCTCTGTAGCACCATTGTCACAGCACTAACAAGGAAAAGGAAAAGAACCTGGCCTTGAAGGGAGGGAGGGAGGTAAAGCCCTCACTGCCCCTGCCCCAGCTGACGGCTGCTGGTTTGGTGAAGTGTCCTGTCCGCAGGAGTCTGAGGAGCTGCCGGGCTCTGCCAGATCCTGGTACCACTAAAACCAGCTCAGTCCGATGCTCGAATGCTTTTAATAGAGCCAGGCCAGTTTGTTCTTATCTGTTGTAGCCCAGGGGGCTATAGGAAAGTTCCTGTTGTCTTTTATCTAGTTCTACCAGTTTTTACAGCGTGAGGAGTTCGGGAGCTGCCCCATCACCAGTCTGCGGGGCAGCCACCCCACTGCAAACAAACAAACATGACCCACCACCTCCACCAGCTTCTCTCTGGGGAGAAGCAGCTTCACTTTCTCTCTGCCTGCCCCGACCTGAGCTTATCCCGTGCTCACACTCTGGGGCCGACCTCCAGCACATGCCTTTAGCTGACAGCTGTCAATCCAAACCCAGCCACAGGAAACCCACAGCGGGAACGGACCTGCCGGTTTAGCCTGCAGAGGTCACGAGGATGTTCTTTACAGCCAAATTTGCTGCCCAGGCCCAGGCTTCCTCTGATATTCAGCCACAAATATGCACAGGAAGGAGCCAGGGGAAGCTTCACCGGGGAAACCTGGGTCCTCTGCAAGAGGGATTTCAGATTGCTCCAAGTGAACTTTGTCTTCCAACCCCAGCACCCCGCAGTGAGCAGCACATGCTGCAGCTCTTCAGCCATTCCCAGCTCACAGACTTCCCTCCCATCGCCTGTCTCACACCTGCAACTCGAAACACAGAAGCAAGTTTTCCTCCTGCAGAACCCACGGAGCTGAAACCCCGCTGTGGTCACCACACCGGGGCGGGAGGTGCTGTTGGTGACACCAGCAGCAGCACAAGGACAGGCTCTGGGTTGAGCCCGCAGTTAGCGCAGTGCTGCGGTTCCTTGCCAGGAGAAACTTGGTTTTAACCATGCAAACAGTTTGTAAAATGGCCCAGATGCAAAGTATCGGGGATTGCTCCCAACCACTTCCCCCAGTGCTGCAGCCTGATCAAAGCTGCCTCCCCCAGGAAGTTATCTGATGTCAGCCCGTGACGCTGCAGCAGCGATGAGCTCGGTCTCAGGTACCTCACTTGACTCCACTCAGCCCTTCTTGAGCAGAGATATGGAAATGTCACTGGCAGAGGCGTCCCGAGCTGCTCAGAATAAATTACCCACATCAGCCAGCGGGCTGGATCCCAGCAGCAGAGACTGGGCTCGGATTCAGACTCCAGCTAAAGCACGAGGTGTGTTCGGATCCTGGTGTCAGCTCCCAGTTGCAGAGATGCCAGTTCCGATTTGAGTCTAAGCATGGCACAGAAACGGGATTTAATGCAGTAAATTCCCAAGTAGCAAATACAAAAGGAAATAGGAATAAGAACCAGTCTGTCCTGGTGCCTTGTAATGGATCTGCTCAGAGAGCCCTGGAAGCCATCTTTACGTGACAGCTTAGTTTCT